TAGATAATGTTTGTTGATGAGTTGTTTAAGTGTTGTTGATGATCCATGATTGATTTATTGAGGTTTGGAGGTGTATATTGTTGATCTGAGATGTTTTCAGGTGAAGGAGAAGACACTGGTGCATACACTGTCTGTGCACCAGATAGTCTCACGGACCTAGGCAAGGTCCGCTGGCTAGATCCGTGGATAGACGGACCGCGGGAACGGATCCTAGGAGGATACGTTGCCCAGGGCCGCTGCTTAGCGGAGCTAAGTGGCGGGGCTTCCCAAGCCCCGTCACCAAGCTTCGCCAGGCCAAAGTTTGTACTGGCTGGGCCCTCTGTGACTCAGCTATGTGTTGTTCGGACCGGGACTCGTGGGCCCTTGAGCCTCGGACACTCGGGCTTGTTACAACCCGCTAGTAGAAGTTGATTTCGTTCGATTTGGAGTTAGGAAGCATGTTTAGCAGTTGAAAGAATTAAAAGTTATATGCTCTGTATATGTTTGGTTGTTTGTGAACTTGACTCAGTAAAGGGAATTGTAGCATTTGAGTTTATAAATGATTTGAGAAGCATGTTTAATACTTGATAGTAATTGTTGAGAAGATTTGCTAAGTTGTTGAGATTTTTGCATGAAACATTGTATTGGTTCCATTTCATAGTAAATGAGCATGTTAGTATATTTCCAAGTTAAAGTGCATTATTGGCTCTAAGTAAAGCCTATGTTCTATGTTCTATTTCAAAAACCTATATCTATTTTGGAAAATCTCTATCTATTTGCATTAAGAAGATTGCATGATATTTGATTTCTAAAATGTGAGAAAGAGAAGTTGTTGAGATTTATGTGCATTGCAAAGCTTACATATGTTAGAGTTTATTGCATAAGAAAGAAGTTGCATGAGATATATATATGCTATCTATTGTGAGGAAAATAGTATTTTGGAGGCCCGTTAGGACTTGGTCCTTTCGAAAGAAAAGAGAAAGAAAGAAGTTTGAGAAAAGAAAGAAACGGTCACAGAGGACCGACAGAGATTTATGAAGTAACTTGGTCGATATTCCCGAGTTGCTAGGTTGGATACTACCCGCCGGGCTTGGAATCTTGGTTAGGGGGTGTGCACACTGACAAGTACGATACCTGATTCCACAGAGATTTATATAAGAACCAGGAGAGTGGTTCTGTGGGCGAGATAAGTATTAGGCCGGCTAGACGCCGAGCCCGGATAGGTTCGTTTACGATTCGTGAAGTTCCTACCTCGCCCGCGAGTTCAGAAAGAAAGCAAGAAAGAAGAAAGAAGAGAAAAGAGAGTCAAGTGACTCAACAAAAACCTCCACGGAAAATGTTCTTTTTATATAAGAGCGAGAGTATATCTATATTTAAGCATCATGTTATATCTTGTTACATGACTTGGCATGAGTTGCATTTAGAGCATTTTGATAAGTACAGTATTTGTTGTTGATTAAGGGTTGGCATGATAGCATGATCTTACTTGCTGAACTTCAGTTATCTATTATCTATCAGTTTGAGTTTGAGTATTGCATAATGAACTATGTTTAGAGATATCTGTTTATAGCATGAGAATGTGTTAAAGTTGAGTATTTGAGAAAAGCATGGTTATATGAAATATAGGTTGCAGGCATATAGAGAAGTGTTTATGAGTATATATTGAGATTTGTTGACTAAACGTTGAATATAATCATACTTGAGATTACGTGTGAATGCCAAAATGTTTTCCAAATCTATATCGATCTATAGTATTTTACAACGTTAAGTGGCTTTATACTTAGCATTAATTTGCTAACGGATTTATTTCCCTACTTGTTTTTATAACCCCTTTCAGTAGGCCCAGTGTTTGAGAGTGCACGCGGTAGTTAGTGCATAGTTTGAGGTGGTAGAGACTAGAGTAGTTCTACTTTAGTTAAACTGATGTTAGTTGATGTTTTAAACTGATCTTTTGTGGTGCGTGGACACCGGGCTTTGTTCCCCAAGTTTATGATGTTATTTTGTAGCCTGTGCAGTCACCGTGAGTGGTGGTTGTGGCGGTGACACCCTTAGTCGATCTTTTGAATGGTTTAAGTTATCTAAACCTTGTTTAATTATCTTGTTTAAGCTTGTTTATTCGGGATTAAATTTTAGAAAAAGGGGGTGTTGGGGGGTGTTACAAGTTGAGATCAGAGCCGTATGAACCGCCGGGACATAGGAAAACTGAGCTTTAAGATTGATTATAGGAACCCTAAGTTGAAGTACTAGGACGGTCAAGTTAAGGAAAGAAACCCTAAGTGGTGAGATTTATGGCAAGAAAGACGTTAAGTTAAGTGTTTAAGTGTAAGAATTCCAAAGTTAAGAAATTCTTTAAGGATATCAGTTAGGAACGCGGTGAGATTGTGAGTTTCTTACGCTTGCTTAACTGTTTATGTGCTTATCTAATGTGTTTAAAGTCCAGTTTGCTTTACCATGAAAGTTAAAAGTTGAAGGTTGAAAGTTGAAAGTTATGCGAAAGTTGTTAATGTGAAAAGTATAAGAGTTATACTTGTTTCCTGTTTATGTGCTTTACTTGTTGTGAACTTTACTTTTGAGAAAAGGAAAGTTAGAAGTAGTAAGATCTTAGAGGTACTAACTTAGGTGATCTATTCTGATGGTGTAAAGGGCTATCGAAATGCCACCAAGGAGAGTTAGGGAGGAGACTCTACGTTCCACGGGGGCTGGAGCTTCGTCTACCACAGATTTGACTGAGAGTCTGCGTCAGCTGACCCAATTGACTCAGACCATTGGGACTGCCGTACTGAATGGAAACAATGGAGGAGATGTGACAAAGCAGATCACTGAGTGTAACCCGCCGAGTTACCTGGGACAAGAGGACCCCAAGATTCTAGAGAGTTGGATCCGGACCTTCGACAAGTTGTTTGATATGTTGTCAATTGCCCGCAAGACCAGCGTGTGGAGATAGTTGTGTACTACTTACAGGAGGAGGCGGACCACTGGTGGATGATGGAGGGTCCTACACTTCGTGAGAAGGATGACTTTAACTGGGAGATGTTCAAGGTTGCTTTGAGAGAGAGGTTCTATCCTGAGCACGTGAAGGCTGCCAAGTACGAAGAATTCTTGCATTTAGAGCAAGGAAGTATGACTATGCAGGAGTACTATGCCCGCTTTGTGGCATTGGCGCGCTTTGCTCCCACTATTACACCGGATGAGGTCAGCAAGGCCAGGAAGTTCGTCCGTGGACTCCACTACGAGGCCTAGAAACTCGTTACTGCTATGAAGTTTCCAACTCTGAATGAAGCCTATGATGCAGCTGCCGGACATTCACGGATTCAGCAACTACACCGGATTGCCATACTTGGATTGAAGAAGAAAAGTGAGGAGAGTGACCCACAGTAGGGTAAGGGGCACAGATTTAATCCCGTGTCAATGAACGACAATCAGAATGTAGAAAGGAGGAATCCAGTTATGGGACAGGGATTTGGAGCTAGAGGGCCATCCAGTGCTAGGAGTGTTGCATGTATGAGGTGTGGAAATGATCACCCTCGTACCACTTGTGGAGGTGGACCCATTGTGTGTTACAATTGCGGGATAGATGGAGTCCCGGTTTAGACTAGCTTTCCTTTCTAGTGTTATTTGTTGTGGCTTGTGAACCTATTGGATTATGGCGACTCTGGATTTGTAGTTAGCCTTGTTTTAGCCTGTGCATCTAGGTTGATGGCCTAGATGTGGCATGATATCCCCTTTACACTTATGTTAGCTTCCGCAGTTTTATATATTCATGGTTAGACTTGTGTTATTTCCTAAGTTTAAATGCTTTAAATTATGTCTAGTTTTGGGGGTGTTACAAAGGCCATGGCAACCAAGGTGCCATGATTGACAGAGAAGCCGACGAGCTTCTCTGTTCAGTTTGAACGGAGAAATCTGTTGGCTTCTCTGTTCAAATCTTTAAAAAAACAAAAAAAGGAAAACAATAACGCCATGGCAGCTTGGCTACCATGATAGACAGCCGGTGGACTTTTCTGTTCAGTTCAGACGGAGAAACTCGCTAGCTTCTCCGTTCAAATATAACATAAAATTAAAAAATTAAAAAAAAAAAAAAAAGTAAAAACACGCAACATAGCAATGCCATGGCAGCTTGCCATGGTTGGCAGAGAAGCCAGCGGGCTTCTCCATTCAAATATAACACAAAACCCAAAAAAAAAAAAAAACACGCAACACAGCAACGCCATGGCAGCTTGGCAAGCTGCCTTGGTTGACTGAGAAGTTGACGGGCTTCTCCATTCAGTTCGGATGAAGAAACCCGCTGGCTTCTCCGTTCAAATCTAACATAAATAATTATGCTTAAAAAGAACAAAAACAAGCAATCAACAATACCATGGTTGAACCAAGGATTGTGTGGTCCACTGGTACCAAATTGTTCTCTTATGTGAATGGTGATGGATTCGAGTCTCGGTGAAGGCGATTATGGTGACATTTGATGTAGTAGCTTGTATACTTATAATAACAATAACAATACTTATAATAACAATAACAATGTCATGGTTGATGGAGAAGCCAACAGACTTCTTCATCCAAATCTAAACAGAGTAGCCATGGCTTCTCCTTTTAGTTCGGACGGAGAAGCCCGCTATCAACAGAGAGCGGAGAACGGTCGGTAACTATTTTTTTATTGAATTAAAATGTCATGTCAAATGCCAAACAAGCAACCTGTTAAATATGTTAATTGCACTATTTTAAGAAGTTCAAAGTTTAATTGAAAATTTTGTTAATCCAAGAGTCTAGTTGTACACTTGTACTTTAATATATAGTTGAAAAGTCAATTTGACCCTTATCCCATAAATTTTTAATATACTAAGGTTTCCTTTTCTTGCTTCTTGTTTTCATCCTTAACAACTGAGTTATGAAAATAGCCAAGCATAGCAGCTGATCGATAATGATGTTTGCTTAATCTAATTTAATTTACCGCAACACACCTTTTGCCACACTACAATTAGATTTTGCTCACCCTTTTTCCCGTAATGAATGAGTCAGAATACATGTAATAAAAAGGTACTGTATAGCATAGAAAATTAATGCACCAATTCAGAAAATACATTTTACTGCCCTACAAATAAACAAAAATGGTATCTTCACAACTACCCAATTTTGTATACACCAAAACCTATTTCAATTGTACTACCTAGGATGGGTGGGTGCCAATTTCAACTCTCCAATGAATTACAATACCAAGACTAAAACTGGGGAAACCATAAAATGGCATATCCTGTGTTCCTCAATTAGAAGCTAAATTCTCTACATCGGCTAATCCTCCCCTTGTAACGGTAAAGGCATTGTGCTTGAGTCACCCTACACAATGAGAAAATACCGCAAACTGGATAAATTTGACAACTAAACATCCTCCGGTTACGACTCCAGAGGGAGGCATATTAACAACCAAATTAAATAAGCCTAGGCAGCCACTGGTTTTGGTTTTACGAGTCCACCATCTCATCCTGTATCTCATTGGGAGCAATTAGCCCAGGAATGGAAAGCATCCGTTGTCGTTCTCTTTCCCGCTGTGCAGCAGCTTCCTCAGCATACAGATCCTTGTTATCCTTTAAAAGTTGAAGTAAAGGAAAACAAAATGAAAAAAATATATTAAAACATAAACACAAACACTTAAGTAATACATGTAGAGCCTGTTGGTCAGTTTTTATGTTATGAATCCATAGCAGCTATAGACAATTAAAAGAGAAGGTGAGTTGCAAGTGTTACGATTCAAGACATTCTTGTGATGATAATTTTGTAGTAGAGTCAAATTCTCAGACTTGCATCTCAACAATTGTTGGTAATAACTGTGTGACTCGAGTAAGAAAATAAGTAGAGGAAAGGAAGGGGCAAACCTGAGCTGAGAACTCTTTTGATTGCACGAGGAAGTCTCGTATGTTATTCTTGAATACTGAGAGGTCATTTGTTGATTCAAACAGTGCACTAACAAATTGGGTAACCTATCAAGTACATTCAGTTAGTGATTTATATATATATATATATATATATATATATACACACACACACATATAGTGAAATACAAGAACAGTAAACTTATGCTTCACAATACCTCAGAAGAAGTCATGTTGGGGAAGGAAGTACTAAGAAGTTTAATGGTGTACTCCCGTACAAACACTGCATTATTAGGATAAGAATAAGTTACTGTTGATGCATCCCATAGTGGCTCAGTCAACATTCCAGACTCGACCTAAAAAGAAGCCATTATTAGCACAATGAGCATGAATGAAACAAAAGGCACTACCAAAGTAATACGCAAAGGCAGTTCCATACCACACAGAATAAATGCTGAAGTACCAACACGTGCAATTTGAAGCCAGGTTTGTGAAATGTATCTGTCAGAACAGCAAAGGTTTCTTGCTCAATGGTCAAAAAGTATGTCCTATAGAATTGGTTACAGAACTCTGATGCCTGCCAGATAAAACACAAACTGTGAGTCTACACCAAATATTTATGACTGACAAAAAGACTCAACCAAATATACCTGAAAGTTTTTAAGCATCTCCAGTAAGAGGTTAAGACCGGTTTCTGCAATATTCCTTTCAGTGTGCCTGAATGCCCAAATGATGGAATCCATCACCAGCTTGAGTTGCTGGCTCAAACAAGAAATAACAAGAATCAAGCACAAGACCACTAAAGCTTTGAAACCTGAATTTTTTTTATTTATGATTTTCATGGAGAAACAAACCTCAGTTGACAGCCGTATCAAAGCAGGGAAACAATGAGTAGCAATTGCACGTAGTAAGGAGAAGAACTTGAGCCGATGTTCAGGATAATCTTCAAAATTTTTTGTAATCATCTGTTTTGAATAAGCATACATATCAAGCACAAAGATAAAAACACTATATTCACCACTTATATTTGGGAGAAAGTACCAAAGTATCACCAAAAAGAGTTTTTCTATTCTGTATACTATTAGTTTTAAATTCAGTAAAAAATTCAAGCAAGATAACACCCTTAGTTGTTTGAAGCCAGAAATGAAGAATTTTTGTCATTTGTAATTTGTAATTTAATAAAAACGTTGCACTTACCTCCAAAGTACACTGAAATACAGCTTCAAATATGCGTGGAACATCATCTATCATTGTGCTCTTATACCTATAGAAGTTAAGTGTCAGTCACAAGAAATCTAGTACAAATGTAATGCACCACTGCCAACCAATCCAACATACAAGCAAACAGTGTATAAATCAAGAATAGCTCCACGTCATTCAAAGAAAGATCAAACAGAGATACCAATAATTCCTCTTTTTAGATAGGTCAAAAGTATTGTTCTAGTTCCACATCAGATGAAGCATTAATGCTGTTGTTGATTTTACTTGGGGGATGTGGGTAGAGGATGAGGTACGAAGAACAACATACTTGTTTATAATAGTTGCAAAAAGAGAGAGAACTTCAGATTCTCTAGCATCAGGAACATTCCGGGCGTAGTCACCCAGAACTGGGTCCATCATTGGGGGCACAAATTGCTTTCCTATATGTGGTTGATCCTCTGCCTTATCCAAAAATGTCTCAATGAGCTTCAGAGTTTCCCTCTTCACCGAACTGCAAACAAGAATATATAAGTACATGTCACAAACCAGAAGACAACACAAGATCTAACCAATTTGGACATACCGCAAGAGTTTTACAACGGAGGTTCGAGATGCAAAGGGTCCTCCTTGTGCAATGCTAGTTGATATAAGCTCACTGTACATTCTGTAGCAAGCATTCAAAGTTCAGTAATCCACATTCAACAGTTTGCCATTGGAAACAAAAAAAAAAAAAAAAACTTTAGGCATAAGCAAGAGAAAAGAAGTGGCCCATTAGCAGGGAGTTTTAATTGCACTAAATAGAAATGACCAAATTAGCAGTAATATCAAGGGCTCATAATACTTTAAAAGGGAAGGTGTGGGAAAAAAACTAATGGCTGATACCTATACACATTAAGCATGTCCAAAAAGATAAGAGTAATCTGTGATAAGAAGTATGTCCCAAGCGAGCTGGCAGCACTAGTATTTGTCTGCAATAAAGATGAAAGCACATAAATACTCAGAAGAAGCAAAATAAAGAATACAAAGCATACCTACTCCAAGAAAACAAAGGTTATAATCTAAAGATTCTAAAAAGACAATAGTAACATTAAAATTTTGAAGATAAGCATGAACAATCACCACAACATAACTCAAAATTTACTACTCTCAACTTCTGCATGGGCCAGTAACACAAATAAATCATAACAAAGTAGAAAGAAATTATGTAAATCAAATTACTTTTTTCTTATTACACAAAATCAGATAAGCACCACAGCCTCATATAACTAGGCGAAAAGTACAAAAAGTTGTAATTAGTTGTACTTGCGACTCAGACTGAGTGATCCTAGGACTGGAATCCAATGGCATGCCATGATATTGGAAGAAATTAATACAAAACAAAATTTAAGTATCCTATTCAATCAATCCCAAGAATAGAACAGAAGAAAAACCCATCCAGTTACATATCAGCAACATTTAAACAAAAGAAAATTTCCCATAGGTAATACCTGTAAAATGTTTAGCACACCTCTAATAACATCTTGATCTTTCAAGTAATCTACACTTACGCGTGCCTGCCCTATAATCTCAGCCCATTTCTGCACAAAAACATTGTTCATGAACAGAAACATCTAACAGACCTAAGAATAAGAATAAAGTTGCACGCAAACTGGTGTAGATATATGAATTGTACACAAAAATAGGCATACAAGAATAACAGAATTGAGAGGTTTGAGATTTTCTGAAAAATATAAACAGAATAAAATACCTGATTAGGAAGTTGCATCAACCTCTGCAAGTATTCATCCCTCTTCTGAGCGTCAGATTCAGCTTGAATCATTTGACCAACCTGAAGAAGGCAGGCAGAAATCAACAATTTGAACAAATTCTTTACCTCTTTTTTTAACTAGCTTGGGCATGAAGGTCTAAGTTTTTTCATATTAGATTCTCTTACAGATTCATAAAATGAATGGATCTGATGTGGCTCTAGATCTGCAATAGTTGTTGGAAGAGTTGTTAAGAGTTCCGATACAAATGGCTCATTCTCTCCAACCTGAAAAACACAAAAGGATTAGCTTAACAACCAATTAAATTTCCTAAACTCCACCCCATTAAATTGAATAATAGAACAATTATTAAGGAAAGATCAGTCTTGCCTGGATAATAACAAATTTGCGTTTGCATTTCTGAACAATCTTCAAAAATGTGTCACAGGCCATGTCCTACAAAATCAAACACAAATAAAGAACCATTAGAACATAAAAGTACTTTGGAAGCAATTATACTTTGGAAGTATTCCAACAATACAGAGAATCAGAGAATGAAAATATAAATAATTGAATAAGTGCATAACATCCTAATCAAGGGAAAAGGTAAAAGTGATTAGTCAAGCACAACCTGAACGCCAGGATGAGTTTCATGCATGAACTCAAATAACTTGTTCACAACAGTCTTCAAAAACTTCCAATGGGCCCTTAAAAAACGTGGATATTGCCCAACCACATACCTGCAGGTTGACCAATATAAGTGGGCAAAGAATTAAGAAGTAAAGACTTATAGCAAAACAGCCGTCAAATCTTTAATCAATTATACGCAGTGACAGATTGCCGTGCCTATACTTACATTATATTACTTGCAATGACTGCTTTGTTGTCCTTGCCCTTGGTAATTTCACAGAGATTCAACAAGTCACGAATCACCATCACAAGAAATCTATTTTCCTGCAAATAGAGAATGCAAATGAGGGGAAAAAATGAATCAAGAAGAATCTTCATATTACAAGTATTTTTCCATAGTATAACAGAAAGTTTAGGGTTTAAACTTGCATGTAACCCACGGGGATAAAGGATAGTGTAAGCTAAACAAACAAGTCAGTGAACACTCCCAAAAAGGAAAAACACGATACAACGTACTTGCTCCTCCATCATAGACCCAGATATGGATCCAATTGCCCAGCATAATGTATTAAGATTGTTCCATGACCAATCCTCACCATCTAGTTGCTTGCTAAGTTTTCTAAGCATCTGCAGTAATATAAACATAAGTAGTGTTTGTTAGAAATTGTACAAAGCCTAGAGCATCATGCCAAAACAAACCCTCAATAAATCAAGCATCCCCCACCCTCATTCCCTAGGCACACCATTAAAAATTAATTAATTAAGAGAAGCACAATAGCACCTGCTTTTCTGTATCTTCATGGTCAAGATGTGACAGGTAGATTAGTGTTTCCCTCATGATCTGCAATTTTTACATATGTATTTAGAAAATATACAAACCTTGAGGTAAAGCACAGTTCATTTGGGGTTCATATAGAGATGTACAAGCATAACATTGGTCCATTGACAACAAACAAAGCCTCATAAATATTACTCCATAAATAATTGTATCAGGAAGCCTAGGCCAATATTTATTGTTATGGAAAATTGCAAACAGCAGAAATTTCTCTATAGGCAAAAATAATTAAAAAAGCAGATTATTTTTCATCTAAACAGCTTTCAAAATCAGGTTAAGGACCTTATATTGCACAAGAACATCATTATCCTTCATTGTTTCACGGACAATATTCCCATTTTCATCTTCCACAATAAGAACCTCTTCAGGCTTTGCCATGCGACATATCATTAGTAACCTCAACTTAGACATTGGACCAGCATAAAGTTGACGCCTTTGCATCTGTTGTGCACCCAAACCATCAGCCATACCAGGAAGCATTGGCATCTGCACTCAACATAAAAAGCTTTGGCATCAGTACCTTTCCTGAGAGAGAAGAAAAAAGTAACCAAAAAATATTTCATTAAGGGACTCAGAGTATTGCTCAGTGGTAAGCTACACCTCTTTCCAGGTAGCAACCTGGATCTGAGTTCCCCCATCAGATGTAAATCAACCACCCCCCACAACCCTCCAACTCCCTTTTCCCCACCCCAAAAATATAATATATAATAATAAATTAATAATAATAAAAGAATTCAGTAACAAATATCATTATTAAAAAAAAATTAGCCAAGGCCAATTTAAGTTAAAATAAAATACAAAAAAAAAATAATAATAACAAAGTAGTATTTCTCACAATAATCAATGCATATAAAGAGCAATACTTTATTATATTCCTGTTAGCAATCAAGGCCATATTTAAGTTACCTGTAGCCCCATGAGAGCTGCAGTCATTGCAGGGTTGTCTACATTATGATGTGCTTCAAACAGCTCCAGAACTAAAGAATTCCAATAATCCAAGCAGACCTTGTAACATCATACACCAGCAATAAGAGAACTAGAGGAAAAAATACATTACTTTGTACTAAAGAACTAAATCCAGATGGCATACCTTGAAAACCTCAGTGTCATCCACATATGAGATGTTAATAAGATATTCAAGACCCATCAGTAGTGCATTTATATTTTCCTGGGAATTCTCCAACACCCGAATATGGGACTGTACAAAAAAAAAAAAAAAAAAAAAAAAAAAAAAAAAAAAAAAAGAAATCAGCACAGAAACAAACCAATTTCTCTATTATCCTATTATTCCTATCAACATCTAATCAAAGAATTAATAGCCATATAATTTATAATATCCTAGGCCATGCAACCATACACCAATTTGTGGAGACTTGACACTAACTGAGAAAGTAAAACATGAGCCACCTAAATCCAAACTAACAAAGGAATTAAAAGTTGGCAGATCAAAGAAAAACCGGAAGGACATTCCACCCCAAACCAGAAGAACAAGGACTGTCATAAAATTAAAGAAAAAGGTAACAATAGAAGAATTAACAGTAAGATATAGTCTTTAGAAACCTTGAAACTCTTACAAGTTGACATTTCTTTATTTCCTTTTTTACGAATGGAGGTGATATATTATATCAAATACAGTTACTTAGCATGAAAGCATATACACAAAATAAACTTGCCTTAAAGAACGAGGTGAAAAATAATGCCAAATTCTGAATAAATGCCTGAAAAACAGATGTAAACAGAAAGGCATCAGTTAGTATAGAATTATATCAACTACGTACCTAATTATTTTGCAAATCCATAACTATACCTGATCTTCATTGGTGCCTTGTGCATAAGCCTCAGGGATGTTTGTATTGGGTGGAAGAATGGTCTAAATGAACAAAGATACATAACAATAAGACACATATGAGATATGCCCTACAAGATAATAGACTCTCCCGTATAGGAGAAGAAAAATTCAGGCAAAATTTATATCATGTAATGCTGTGCCCAAACTCTTCAATGTTTTCCCAGTTCAATCATCAATGGCACACAAAATTATACTAATTCAGGTTCAATTACAGCATTAAGAACACAGATCTTTATTCACCTGCAGCTGGGCCATGAAGATGGTGTACATCTTCACATACTGCATATTGTAAAAATCTCCAAAACTGAGTGCAGCAACCTGTCACGTCAGTAGAATATACGTTAAAAGCTCCAGCTAGAGCATCAAGTGATTACTAAGTAGTTACATTCCAACATACGGACATACCTCTGTCAGGCACTGAAGTGTAAGGTTACGATAAGCATGGACAGGGAAAAATTTAAGTAGTGTTTCCAGCTGTAATATCAAAGGAAAGGAAGTTTCAAAATATGCAGTGCCCAATAAATTTTTTCAAAAAATCCAGGAACAGTGGAAAATAAATGCATAATAAAAAAGAACTACATACCAGTGGAGATTCAAAAATATAACCCAAAGGAATCCATGAGAGGAAAGCATGTAATGTAGCAAGAGTAGCCCTGATAAGCTCAGTTCTTTGAGATGCAGAGAGCACATATAGACATAGCTCATGAATGAGTTGAAACTCACTGTCAACAGCAAAAAGAAACTCTATAAGTAAATTGTATGTGTGCAGATATTCACAATCACAAATCACAAATATAATAAAAAGATCAACAAAACAATCCATTAAAGAAACACAGCTTGCAAGAAAAAGAGCAAAAAGGTACAAAATAAGTCCCTAAATGCCACAGTTACTAAAGGCATAAAGTTCTTGAGAATACTGATATTTCCTTTTAAAAACAACACTAGAAGAATAAAGCAAAAACATAATGACTCTCAAACTTATTACTTGGTTTTGCATTAAATCTTTGATCATATACTTCTAATCTCCTAGCTACAGCACAAGATAGTCAATTGACTAGACAAGGCAATAGATGGGACCAATACTGAAAAGATCAAGGCATAACAAAACCCAATGAAATAAGACAACATAACACCCATAAATAATTACCTGTTTAGTGACTGTTTTAGCTCTTTGATCTTCAGCTGAGTCATTTCACCCCTTGAGAAATCAAAAACCTCCTCACTAAGAAGCTGTGACAAAAACATTTGTGTGGTCATAAACACTTCTCTAAAGTTTCCATAACCATATAAGATGTTCATAACAAACCTTCAATATAGCCATGCAATTCTCACAAATAGTTTCACTTGTCCTTGCCGCAGCAACTAAATCAGGAATGAAGCTTCGCCATCTTGTTGGCCACTCGTGCTTCAAAATCTAACCTTAGTAATAAATTATATTAATGGGGGAACACATTGTTCACAATCTTACAACATAAGATGTACATCCAACGAAACATGAAATGCAAGGAAAGGTTACCTGAACCAAAATAACATTTAATTTGTTCAGATATAATCTTTCTCGCCGAAGAAATGCTTCATCACTTGAAAGCTGACAAAATCAAGGAAATCAAAATTACAAATTCTTCTACTCAAAGTATATACAACAATGTAACGCTTTTAAGAGAAAATAAGGGATAATATGGCAAAGGATCTTACCTTCACAATAAGTTCAGAGATGTAATTTTTCATCCCATCTCGTTGCTCAACAGGCAAAGCATTCCATCTATACTTTATGACACCTTCTAGAACCTATCATGTCAGCTCAACAAAATGCAAATCCAACTATCAGTTTCTGTAAGTTCATAATTTTATGAACTGCCACTTTTCACAATCATATCTATCAGATAATGCAATAAAAAAGCCTACACAATAATGATGTAGTTGAGCTGATCCAGTTCATAAGCTAATCAAGGTCAGCCAGTTTAATGCTTGGTTTGACTTGACCGAGCTTGAGCTCTATGATGTTTGGTAGATGAGGCTTGTGAGCTTGATGAGCCTCTCTTTTTTTTTTCTATTTTTTGTTAGCCTTGTTTATAATTAAGCTAAGCCTCTCTCAAGTAACCCGAGTCCCCATATTCCTATTTCTCTCATCAAAGGGTAAACACATTTCCCTTTTTCTCATTCCATGTCCACTTGCTAGCTCTCTCTCTCTCTCCACGGGGTCGGACTCATTTCCCTTTTTTCCGCTCCCATGTCCACTTGCTAGCTATCTCCCCCCTCCCCAAAACCTTTTACCATTTTCTTAAAATCTATTAATTTAAAAATCTTTAAAAAGTTCAAGTAAATTGATCATGCTTCATGATCTTAATATGGTGGTTAATTTTATCAATGCAAGACAAGCATGGCTTCTACCAAAAAAGCACTTGCACTTTCAAGATGCAAGTTTAACTGAAAATTGTAGAATAAATACATATTTCTAAGACAAGCATGAAGTTCACCAAAAAAGTTAATTCAAATTGTATAATGTATCTCAAACAAACATGAGTCTCACCAAAAACTCTTTAACATTGTTGCTACACTATTTTGACGCTTCAATTACACTGTTATAGTTGCGTGCTACAGTTAACTTACAAACTTTCACCAGTCCAGTTATAAAATGCAAAGACACAACAATGCACCAATGTTAAGACTACCTAAACTGCATGCATGGTGCTTCTAAATCTTTTGAAACTGACCTGTAAAGCAAAAAATTTGGTATTCAAGTTTTGTGTGCTGGATAGGACGTGAACCACTTGAAGCCACATGTCTGGGTTATTTTGCAAATCACGCAAAATATGATCAGCAGCAGCCCTCTGTAAAATCACACAAGGAAAAAAATAAAGACAAGAAAGGTTGGTTTGAGAACTTTGAAAGAAACAAAGTACATGCATTAACGGCCAGCTAGAGGGAAGATATTCAAAGCACATAAATTTGGCAGAAAACCCAGTAAAAAAATATGCACCAAAGTATTCAAATTCAAGCAATCTCACCGTATTTAGATGGAAAATCATCTATCCACAGTTAAAATTTTGAAACTTGAACCACTTAGCAATGAAATAACTGACTAAACTACTAGTCCGGTCAACAGTGATTCAACTGTCAATCTGTGATATACAAATATTTCGATAATAGGATACCGGATACCATATAATGAAGAGTGGGCATTGCTAAAGGCTAATGCTCAGCTGTACACCCATACTAATACAACAGATTCATGCGCTGGAAACAACCTCTCCAGAATCAGAGGTAAGATTATGTACATCTTTCTTGCCCATTTACTCTGCCCAATTTTTAGTTAATATTAACAGTAAAAATGTAATTAAGGTATTATATCTTGTCAAGTAAGAATGTGGCAATGGGGTCAGCAAATACAACACATCAGATTCTGTATTTGAAATTGATTGTTTAGCGCAAAGGTCTAATAAAATATTTATTTAACGTGAATAAAATGTTACTATAATAACTTTTTGTTTCATTGATTCTTTCTGTCTGTAACACGTGTGTATCCATTTCAGATAAACAAAGGGAATTTCATGATCTCTATAAGTAGTTAATGCCTCATCAATCACTGCTCTCCCTTGGCCCCACTGCTCTCCCTTGGCCCATTCAAGACTGCAATTTAGTTAAATTTCTTTTGTAACAAATTCCATTTGTGTATGCACCCCCCAGAAACATATGGTACTCTATTCCATTACATACACGAATCAGGTCAAATAAACAGACCTAGTTCTCTTAGAATCCTGAATATGCCAGTAATTGTGCTAATCCACATATGTCTCCCTCCCATCAATAAGTACTAGTTGAAGTAATAAAAAAAAAAATCCCTTTTTTGTTTCTCTGCGCCATTTTTCAAGTAATTTTGTTCCATTACATTTATAGGTTCAAGTGGGATTTACAACATTGCACAAAGTACACCCTTTATATGTTGAACTCAGAATGTATATCATGAGTTGCAACAAACAGTACCTACTATAATACAATCATAGCTATTTTCATACATAAAGGAGATATCCATGACGAATGCAGGCACGGTGCCTACCAAGGAAATTGCTAAACTTTCATTCAAGGCAAACGATGGCAACTTATACCAAGCGGCACCAACAGAAAAATAAAATAAAATAAAATAAAATAAAGGTTCCACTAATCCAACAAAAACACTACCAAGTAGTCAAAGGTTGAACGGACAAGTAGCAGTTCAGAAAACAAAAGCAAAAAAGCAAACCCCCAAATAAAAAAAAAAATAAAAAATAAATAAAAAACAAACAAAACCTCTGAAGAAACAAAACGCGGAGAATATAATTATATAACGGAAGAGAATGGAAATCACCTCCTCCTTAGATCCAGTGCCATAGAAAGCATTGACAGTGGCGTCAAGCAATGCGACATCAATCGGCTGACTCAAATCCCTAAGCTTCTCCGCCGCCATGGGAGAGTGATAAACCCTAGAAATCGCAGGAGGGGGAAGAAACCCTAGTTCGAAGGGGCAACCGGCACGGCTACACCTCGGAGAAGAGGACAAATACAGGGAAGCAGTTGTATATATATAAGTATGTATGTATATTTGAAAAGGACAAGAAGACAGCTTCGAATTGAAGCAGCAGCAGAAGAAGGAGTTGGAGAGTGAGAGAGAAGACTTTGAAATTGGTTTAAGGGCTTCCCTCCTGTTTTTTATAGTGAGGAAAAATATGATAAGAGCAGTGGTGTCCCGCTCCCCCTCTTCAATCTTTAGTGTGAAGCGGGGCCCGCTTCCGTGTCATTCATATTCATATTCATATTCATATTCATAGTATAATTCAACTAATATACTACTACTCCGCGTACTTCAGTTTAAAAACTAGTCGAGACTCGAGTCAAAATCTTCAACAAACAAGCAGAAGCTCAAAATTGAAAACGGTTAAATTAGGTTCTTACAATTAAAGGTTTTAATCTATAGTCTATTATATTACTAATAAGAGCCCAAAGAGAGTTAAACTTATAATGGGTAAAAAAAATGACTGTCAAATTTTTTAATCAAATGAATGGCTCAAATTGATCATCTACTATATATATATATATATATATATATATATATATATATATACTAATAAGAGTTCAAGAGAGTTAGTAGGCGTATAATTAATAGAAAAAATGGCGGTCAAATTTTTTAATCAAATGAATGACTCAGATTGATCAGAGTTTAAGAATGACTCAGATTGATCAGAGTGATTATCCGTTAACTTTTTTGTTAAATATTATCTTTTTCGTTAATTTATGTTAGTTCACCGTTAATTAAGAATGACTCAGATTGATCAGAGTGATTATCCGTTAACTTTTTTGTTAAATATTATCTTTTTCGTTAATTTATGTTAGTTCACCGTTAATTTACTCAGAAATGTCTTTGTTAAATATTATCTTTTTCGTTAATTTATGTTAGTTCACCGTTAATTTACTCAGAAATGTCTTAGGTTCGAACCACATCCCAATCAAAGTTGGCATAATTTTTTTTTTGAATGCTACTGGTTCTATTATATTGTAGTATCTGAAAGAACCAATAACGTCTCCACTAAAACTCGAACTTACAACCTTCCAAATGGAAGTCCAACCCGGGTACCATTAGACCACATAGTCCTGGTAATTGGCATAATTAGTACTCTATTTTACTCTTATTAAATTAAAATAATAATTTAGTAGCTGCAACAAAAAACAATACATATGCATTTCTTTAATTTAGAATTATGTGTTTACAATGTTTTTATTCAAAAAAAAAAAAATTACTCATTATCAATAAATTAAATAATAGAAATAATTTCATTAGTTATATTGTATTTATTTTTCTCCAATATAAAAATTCTTTTACATTCAAATTCATCAAATTGATTATATTCGCTACATTGTCCCTACAATGTCTTTATTAAAAAAAAAATTATTCATTATCAATAAATTAATTAAGAAAAATAATTTTATTAGTTATATTGTCTTTATATTTCTCCAATGTAAAAATTCTTTACATTCAAATTCATCAATTGATTATATTCACTACATTGTCTATTATCTTTTTCTGTGTTCTATTTTTTAATTAAATATCAAAGTTATAATACAAAATAATGCTATATATTTATTTACCAAGTATTTTATTAATACCATAAAAATTTTAAAAAATATATAATTAATAAAGTCAATCATGTTAACTATTTGAGGGATTTGTTGACAAAGAGAGTATTCAAATCACATAACAAATTAAAGTGAGAACTACCTCGCAATGTCCTTGTTTGACAATCAATAGTTAGCGGTTAGCGTAGCGAATTATATTAGTGAATTTGACAAGCGAATTATATCAACGGTTAGTAAAAAGATATTTGAACAAATTAGCTGTTTAGATTAACATGTAAAATGACCTAAGGATATATATATATATATATATATATATATATATATATATATATATATATATATATATATATATATATATAATTAAGCCAATCATATTAACTACTTGGGGGGATTTATTGACAAAAAGGGTATTCAAATCACACAACAAATTGAAGTGGAAAACTATCTCGCAATGTCCTTGTTTGGCAATCAACAGTTAGCTCTTCAATATTAGTATATATTTAATATTTTATGCCCTAATTTTTATTTGCTCTCCATTATGTCCCGTATTTGGTTTCAACCATACCTATACAATTATTTTATTGACAATTATAATCAATCTTGACTATATTATCTTGCATTTGTAAACTTAGAATTGCCTATTTAAATACACAAATTTAACATTCAATTATCTATGCATGAACAATTCCAATATAATATTGCATTGATATACTTTAAAGTACTTATTTAAAAAAAAACATTGGGTATTATCACAATTGCGCAATGCGCGTAAAAAACTAGTATACTAATAAATCTCTACCAAAAACTTTGTTATTGAGCGGCCCCTCAAATGAGAGGTCTCATGTTCAAATCACTACATTATAATGTGATGCGCAAAAATATATGTTCAATTCTTACTAATTAAAATCTACATGAAATTAAATTTATTTATTATATTAATAAAATATATAATATTTACAAATATTATTATCATAATCAAATTTATTTATTATATTAATAAAATATATAATATCTACAAATATTATTATCATTAACAAAATATAAGAAAATATATGTTGGCGCGCATGGTAACAATAATAGAAAAGATAACTGAAGTTATAATGATAGAGATATTTTTATCCAAAAAAGTATATAGTACAACTCTAAAAGCACAATGTACAAAATTATTTGCACTAAAAACATTGACATAAATCAGGAATATAACTTTGATTGAGACTTATTATGTTTTTAGATATATATACTAGTTTTTTCACGTGCATTGCGCGAATGAATAATGTCCAATGATTATTTTTGAATAAGTACTTTAAAGTATATATCAATGCAAGATTATATAGAAGATGTTGAACGTTAGATTTGTTTATTTAAATCAGTAATTCAAAATATATGAATGCAAGATAATATATAAGAGGTTGATTATAATGGTCACTAAATAAATGTTTGCAACTTTGTAATAACGCTAGTGTAAATACTTAATCTAAAATAGTGTAAAAAGAAGACAATGAACAATATAGTGAATATAATTAATTAACAAATTTGAAGGTAAGGAATTTTGAACGGTAGGAAATATAATATAACTAATGAAATTATATCTCAATTTTTTTTTTTATATAATGAATATTTGTTTTAATAAAGACATTGTAGGCATCTAATTCTAAATTAATTAAATGCATATGTATTTTTTTTTTTTTGTAGCTACTAATTTATTTCTACAAATCTAATAAGAACCAATAATGTTAGGCCCTTAACTGGAAAAAAAAATGTCGGTGTAATTGTTTCTTGAAATGAATGGTTCATATTATTTTAATTTTAGTATTTTTTATGATTTTCCTTATTTACCCTCTATTATATTATTTTCTTTCCTTAAATAACCCTGAATTCCGTTAGTATAAACTTTAGTAACGAAATATTCCGTTAACTATTTATTATTCTTAACTTACTCATTAATTTCTATAAGAAAGGTCTTAGGTTCGAACCTCATCCCAATCAGAGTTGGCATAATTGTTAAATATATACTACGAATATGTTAAAATATACGGAGTATTAAAAAAAATAAATACAATATAAAATTTAACATAAACTTTGGTCAAATAATTAGCCCGACTAAACACAAAACACTCAAAGTTGAGCATCAAAGATTATAACAATATCTATTGTAACAATATATTTTGAATTATTTATTATCATCATCTATTGACAGCAATTGTAGCAATTTTCATTGACAAACTCTCAAAACAATTTGTCTCAACAACGAATGTAAATTAAAAAAAAAAATCAATGACTTTAATGTTGTTGATAAAAAGTATGTACGCAACTTTATTACTCTTATTAAATTAAATAAATTGGTAGCTACAACAAAAAATAATACATATGCATTTAATTAATTTAGAATTAGATATATATAATGTTATTATTCAAAAAAAAATGTATTTCATTATAATAAATTTTAAAAGAGATATAGTTTCATTAGTTATATTATATTTATTTTCTACAACCTTCAAAAAAAAAAATTTATTTTCTACAATTCAAAGATTTCTTACCTTCAATTCAAATTAATTAATTAATTATATTCACTACATTGCCCATTGTCTTCTTTTTACATTATCTTGTAATTAAATATCAAAGTTATAATACAAAATATGCTATATATTTATTTACTAAGTATTTTATAGAAATATAATTAATATTAATATTTTGTTTAATACTTTCACATGATAATCTATGACACACATCTCACAACACATGAAACATGTAGGGAAAAATTACCAATACCAAATATCAATATGCACTTCTAAGCTAAATAGTTAATAGTACAACTAAGATCTCAGTCATATACATAGCAAAAAAAATCTAGAACTTCCAACACTATAATCTCATTGCATGATGATGCCCTCTATGCTACCGCCAGTAACCCAATTCCACATAACATACTACCAATAAAAAAAAAAAAAGAGGACATGCCATGTACTGAAGATGAAGACAATGATAATGCTACCCAAAAGAGAATTAAGAAGACTTAGAGAAATTTAAATCGAAAGTAGTATTTATTTAGACTATCACTTTTAGACTAGTGTTATTACAAAGTTGCAAACATTTATTTTAGTGACAATTATAATCATTCTCTCATATATTATCTTGCATTTATATATTTATATACTTTAAACAAATTCAATATTCAATTACCTATGCAAGAACATCTCCTATATAATATTGCATTGATATACTTTGAAGTACTTATTTAAAAATAATTATTGGGCATTATCCCATTCGCGCAATGCGCGTAAAAAAAACTAATACTTTAATAAGAGTAATAAAGTGTGATACTTACTTTTTATCTACAACAATGAAGTCATTGATTTTTTTATTTGAATTAATACCCAAAATAGTCCTCCGACTATTAGCTAATACTCGATTTTGTTCCAAAGTATTAAGGGGGCGTTTGGTTCATGTTATATAACATAACCAAGGGAATGTGACATTCCAAAGCTCACATACCAGTGTTTGGTTCATATTATCTTAGGGAATCTGACATTCCCAAGGAATGTCACATTCCCTCCACATAGGATTTTGAAGGGAATGTG